CTGCTGCAATAAGTTTTTATTCAGACACAGAATATATCAGTTTTATTACTAACTAGCACATGGACAGATTCTAATCTAATCACACATCATATTGAAAAGTTCATTCTGGACCTTTGAAATTGAAATATAGCTCAGCATGCTTGTATTCATATTATGAAATGAGTCTGGCAGATTTGAGAGCAGCAGAGGTCCTACGTATTTTTATACCATCTCCTATTTGTATTTCATTAAAACACATTAAGTAATGACATTGGGATGTAGTTAACCTCAGACAGCTGGCAAGCTGCGTCATGTGAAAGAGTTGCAGAAAAACTCTGAAAATAATCAAGTCACCCTGTCTGGATGCTGCAATATGCTATGACACTGCATCCTTTCCACTGAGCATCATTCATAGCATATTGATTCATCATCACAACAAGACATTATAACATCTTTTACTTTCCCACCTACCCTTTCCCAACTGCAGAAAAGAGCAGAAGAGGATATTCTCCACCTTGCTGTCTTTAAATACCTGCAGTTTTCACATTCTAGCTGGCATAATTATAAGTAAATATGAGTCACAGAGGCTTACATGTTAATGAATGAGTTTGTTCTTCTACTTTTTGCTTGTATCAGGCAGCAGTGGGAAGTAAGTATATTTCCTACATTATTAATGCTGTACACTCCAAAACAGAAAGAATAAATTCATGAATTCATGTGAAGAACACCATGGGGCCCATGAGCTACATGACCAGATTTGTTGTGTGAAAATAGATAAGCAGCTCTAGAGAAGCAGCTTTTCTGTCCTTCCATATCTGTAACTACAGGCGCTTTCAAATCAAGATACTGTTAGTGAATCTTAAAAAATGTATCCAGTGATTAAAGGCAACAGCTCAGGGGACCAAACTCTTAGTACTTGAAATATTTGGATCAGAGGCTCCAGCTGTTTATAAGGCAGAATTTGATTGATTCAGTGAGAGCTCTGTAAGCCATGATCTATCTTGTACAACAACAGGAGAAAGAGGGGATCACTGCTGGGGAATCACAGGATGTGAATCTAGATTTCTGCCAAACATCCCTCAAGGAAAGTATCCTTCATATTTTGAGCCTGAATTTTATTATACCCATGTTTATCGCAAGTCTAAGAAGCTGCACCATGTAGAATATCTTAACTTTCTGCTCAGTGTAGTATTAAGGAAATTTATTCTGAGCTTTTAGATGCTGAAGCCAGTATACACGAGTTACTGAAGAATACAAAATACTTAGCAGTCTTGTTGGTGAGATGGTACGTAGGGTGACAGCTAAAACCAAAATGGTGTTGGGTTTTTTTTTTCATTTATGTGAATTTCAGAGTAGCAGTGATGAAGCCAAGTTCTAATGCCCCCATTTTCTTTTTCTTTTTTCCAAGGAATCACTACAGTTCTAACAATGACCACTTTGAGCATCAGCGCACGCCATTCCTTGCCCAAGGTGTCCTATGCTACCGCCATGGATTGGTTCATAGCTGTGTGCTTTGCCTTTGTCTTCTCTGCACTTATTGAGTTTGCAGCTGTCAACTACTTTACCAATCTTCAGACTCAGAGAGCGATGAGGAAGGCAGCCAGGGCAGCAGCACTGGCAGCAGCACTATCAGCAGCAACTGTACCGGCAGAGGACGAAATTGTCTCGGTAATTGCTTGCTTTTCTGATAATAAGCATCATATAGGAAGAAGCAGCTCAAGAAGTGAATGCAAAACAATATTAAAGTGATCTTAACCTGAAACAGATTATGCAACCAAATCATGCCTATTTATCAAAGGCATTGTTCTTATAGCAGAAAATGAAAAGACTTCATTTATTCGTACTGTTTATTTGAATTTGAGATATGATTTACTAGAGAGATGTTTATTTGGTGAGATATTTACAGAAAGCCATAATACTTCTCTTGAGCAATGCTGTAGGCACTGTGGTCAGGCAACTGTGGTCCTCAGTAGGTCTGCAGAATTTGTAGGACAGTGTACAATGGAATGAACATGTGCATTGGCCAGATGATTAGGGGATCACTGTAGTACATGGGTACATACCATAAGTGGGTCATCTGGAAGATGGGTAATTAGCCTTTACATAAACTTGGCATCTGTTACTTTTATAAAAATCTGTGTTGGTGGAAGCTTGGGGGAAAAAACATAAATTAAAGATAGATTTTAGTAGATGGGAAAGACAGGAAGTCTTTCTAGTATCAAACCCAGCATGTCAGAATTGCTTGTAAATATTATTCCTTACATCTCAGGCTAAGTAATGAATGCTGTCTCAGAACATATGTTTATGTACTTATTGCTATAGCCCTCCTGTTTCAAAACCAGTTTTACTACCACCACAATTTCCATTTTTAGAGGAATAACAGTTTTTGAATGACCTTTTGCAAAACCTCTGAGTCTGTAATTAAATAGAGAAGTCAATTGAAGTGTTGCCCATATCAGGGCAACACCTTACCCACCATATAGTAATTTTACCACATTTTCTTATAACAGCAGTTAAAGTTAAAACATTTAGGTATATTCAAGCCCTTAAATTCATAATTGGTAAGTTCCATATAATAGTGAAATCAAAGCTCCACAGTATCTTGCTGCTGGTCCTTCACTGGAGCTGAGCAACAAATGCTCTTCACTTCAGCTGGGAAGGATTATGCTTGTAAACCATATTGTATTTTCTTACAATGTTAATAATATTGGAAAAAATGAAGACACTGTAAGCCATAGGAAAGAAATGCATTTATTTTCATGTGTTGCTGCTGGTGAATCCACAGCAGATGCTACAAAGGCACCTACACCACCTCCCCAGTCTCAATAAAGCAACAGTTCCAAAAAATAACCCTTTGCTTATGCCTAGATACACTGGAACATACTCCTAGTGATCAGGGCTTCTCCAGTACTTGTGGGTGAGATTTACATGGTCTCTGTATCACTGCAGACTAAGATAAGCACAAAATGCAAAATTTCATACAAATGAATAAAAGAAAAAGTTTCTGATGAAGGTCTTGAGCCATAAACAAGCACAGAGCCAAGCTGAAGACACACCTTCCTTGTTTTGTAAATATTACCTTGTTAAATATTCCAAGTAAAAACAAAAAATAAGCACCTAGGAAGCACAGTGCAACCATTTACTCAAGAAAGTTATTTACAGCTAGCCAACAATATACAGATTTAGAAAAGTAGTAAACCCCATAGCATCTAGGTCGCAAAGTGGACTTGGTCCCTAAAACAACCCACAGTGTCCACAAATTTCTGTAGCCCTGAACTTTCTCAAAGCTCATATAGTCCAAGACGCTAATTTTCAAGCCCTGTAAGTCCACTACTGATTTTCTCACGGGACCAATTCTATATGAGAACACACCTCTGCAGTAATAGAAAAAGCAAAACCAATGAGATCACAGAAATAAGGGATACTTACAATTGAAGGCAAGATGATGTAGTCAAAATGGCTTCTAGAAAGAAGAATTAGCTATTGGATTTAAAAGGTTCCATTCCAGAAAGGCATGTTGGGAAAAAGGAGTGATTACAGGATAACAGATTTTAAGAAGCTTTTCTTTTTTCATTTCTTTCTTTCTTTTTTTTTTGGTTTGTTTGTTTGCTTTTTGGTGTGGCAAAGATAAGAGGGAAAGAACTTGTATGTTGTCATGTAGTTGGATGTATTGCAGTCAGTGATATAATTTCAGCTGAAACAGACCTGAACTAGCTAATTTGAATGTTAAATACAGTGTATTTAGCAGAGGCTGATTGCATGGGTGTATGAGAATTTCCTCAGGACTATCATTCTCTACTGAGCCTTGTACTTGTATAGCTACATTATTGGTCTTAAGGCAGTTATTTTTAAATAAGGCACACAGGATAATCCTCAGTTTCTATCTTAATGTAGATTTAGGAGCTCCTTTCTGATGTTCCAATTTCCCCTTGGTTGCCCCATATGTCCCAACTTGTGTTCTTTGTTTGCCTCCCAATTCTTTCAAAACTTCTCCTTCCAGATTTTTCTTTTTTTGGCTGCTAAAATGGCCAATTCTTATTATTTACCCCTTTCACAATTTATCTTATCTCTCTTGCTTTTCTTTTTGCCTTTTCTTCCCATTTACTCTGTTCCTCTTCCTAAAATGCTCTTTTCTAAATCACTGGGAAAAAAAATCTATTAGAATCCATATTTTCTACATTAAAATATTTTTAACCATCCACTTTATTTGATATTAAAAAATCTTTTCCTTCTCTCATACCTGGAGACTTTGGTACCTTGTCTTCTCTAATCTGTGGGGGTTTTTTTTTTCATTTCTTTTTGCTCTTTTAGATAGCACAGTAAATTTTTTTCATTTATTTTGTGATGCTAGTATTTTTATTTGTGATTTCTCAAGTGCATGAAATTTGTTAGAATTTTAGCTATATGAAGGGACAGGTATAGGAGGAAGTGTCAAAGCCACTGTGTTTTGCATTTGTAGGTGTTCAGATGGTATTTTTACATGAAGACTTTAAAGGTTTACTTAATTTTGGGGAGTCCATTTGTAAAGCTAAAAGTGAAAAAATGAGATGTACTTGAGAATTTTCATGGCTATACAACTGCCAATGAAACTCTGCTACCAGTAGCAGCATTAAGAATATCACATAGACTGTATGTTTTTAATAATCTATTATTTTAACTTGCCTGAAGAGTGGCTGAAGAACACTGTTGTCAGAATAACCTTAGGATGTCTGAACTAGTACTTTCTGTATGACACAGTCCCTGTGCTTTGTGTAAGAGAAGGCCAGGGAGACAGTTCAGGTATAAAGGAAAATACAAAGGAGTTATAAATCAGCCAGTTAGAAGCTTCTGCTGCTTAAGTAAGGGCCTAAAATCAAGATAAACATATTTACAGAATATATTATTCTTTTTTTTGAATCGCAGATTAAATGTTTCCCGAGTAAACAAGAAAAAATCAAAAATATTTAGAAATACCATCAAGCAGTCTCCTTCCCCCTTCAGTCTAGTTAATTTTATTTAAAATGTTGCTTTATTCAGATAAAACCCCACCTTTTTCACACAGGTCTTCATATTGTAGCCAAAACACTTGTACACTCAGAAAAGAAAGATGTCAGAAGACCAAATTCTGCTTTGCTGTACAGTGAAAGTAAGAGAAACTCTGCTGCAGTCACTGAACTATGGTGGTTTCAGTGAGAGAGACAGTGGTGCCTGTGTGCTCAGTTGAGTGATGAGAGCTCAGCATGCCTGTTCTGGTTCCAGGAAAGCCTCTCTATTTACCTCAGTTAACTGAGAGCAGAATTTGGCTTGCTCTCTTCGTCAGCTGCAGGCAATCCCTGTGTGAAATACAAAACTATGGGTGTTCCACTGCAAAATATGATGGCAACAAGCTGAGTAGTCATCTGGACCCTGACAGAAACCTGGTTTTAGTCATACGGTGGCCAAGCTGGTTTTAGCATGTCAAAACCAAACGTGTTGTATATACGTTATATGTATATAAAACCCATGATGGCATATAGCTTTTTAATCCCTTTCAAATGAATCTTTTCTATATCAGTCATATTGTTTCATCACTCTGGCTTCCTTTATCCAGGAATATCCCAATACTGGAGGTTGCAGGGCAGGGGAATTGGTGATACTGTCTGGAGTGCAGCATTTGCTTTGTGAGATGGTCAGGGAGTACACCCCATGGATCAAAAGACATCCTTTCCCTGTGAGAGACTACATGTAAAAGACAAAGATTCCTACCCTGTAACAGCTTGATTACAGTTATGTTCTAAAAGACCTCTTGTTTTAACAGAAAACAACTCAGAGCAGTGAAATACTTCTGGGAGATCTTCCTTCTCCCTACAGCCTTGTCCCCGTGTTTCAGAATAACATGGCTTGGGCAGAAAAGGATTCTCATTTTCTTTACCAGCACTGGCCAACTGCAGAGCAGCCGTATGGCACTGGGAGAGAGGATTTAGTTCTCTATAATTGTGTCAGAATATATTGAGTATGTTTAATGAGTATCCTAGTGTAACTGAAAGGAGAGAAGTTCTGTTTGGATTATCAACAACCCTTTATGAGATCATCCTAGAAACAGCTACATGCACTAAAGTCCTGACTTTACATGGCACTTCCAATCAAATTAGGGAGACCTTCCTGCTCCTCTGCAATTGAAGATCACCAGGTAGACTATTAAAAATGAACATTAACTTTCAATTATATTGAATTTTTGTCATCCCAACAAGAAAAGTAGATGCCGAATATTTGGTTCTGCTCAAGTAAAATATATGTCTGATCAGCAAAGCCAGTGCAGGGCAGTAAGGAATGTTTAGAAGTAGCTGGTATCATACACCAAAATAGGAAAATAAAAGATTCATTTGATTTGGACTTTTTTTTTTTTGGTCAACATTGAAGTCTGATGCCGCTACTCTTCTTTTTTTTTTTTTTTTGCAGAGGGGCAGTGAGAATAAAGAAAGTTAAAGTATAGAGCAAACCTCAAATCTCTCTAGTGCTGTTTGTGTAGTCTCATTTAGACACTTTGACACTTATGCTGCAGAATTGTAGCAAAGGTAGCGACAGGGATTGTTCTGGACAGACACTGATAGATTTAAAAGCTGAATGTAACTTTGAACATTTAAATCTGTTTAACAGAAAAACTTATTTTGACAGCGGAAAGGCTCTGTGCCAGTTCTGTAATTTTTTTT